TAGAAACCACAGGGGTGTTCTGGGTACATTCTGAACATTTTGGGGCCAGCATTGCAATGGCAGTTATCCCCTTCTTTTATAAATGTTCTTGTGAGCAGCTTTCTGAAGTGAAGGTTTGCAAGACCTTTGCTCTAGTGGCATTTACGCTGTTAAGACTGAAGGAAGACTTACCATGATGCTAATGAAACTTTAGGGATTCACCTCCTTTCTTTCAAGGATTCTCACCAAAGAGGAGCCCCATTGAAGGGTTCCAATATTCATGTGTTTTGTCAAATAGCAAAAGTAAATTATTGAAATTTGCTGTGATTTTTTTTTATTCTAAATATTCACTTTTGTGTATGTTATGAATTGGTAATTTTGTGTTCTTCTTAAAGATGGGGCATAGATCCCCTCCTACTTTTGGCCCTTATTTATAGGTCATAGTGACTTGCTAACCACATATTGCAAAACCATTAATATCCCTTCTCTTTGAATTTTACCTCCTCCATCAACACTCAGCTTTTCAGGTTTGGCCATTCCTAGCTGTCAGCCTGCTCATTTCTGATGACCACCTCCTTGAAGAAAATGTCCTTCTAGGCCAGGCATGGTGGCACGTGCCCTTAATCCTGGCACTCAGGAGGCAGAAGCAAACAGATCTCTGTGAGTTCAAGACCAGCCTGGTCTACATAGTGAGTTCCAGACCAGCTGGGGCTACAGGGAGACCCTGTCTCAAAAAGTTGCTGTGATTTTTTTTTATTCTAAATATTCACTTTTGTGTATGTTATGAATTGGTAATTTTGTGTTCTTCTTAAAGATGGGGCATAGATCCCCTCCTACTTTTGGCCCTTATTTATAGGTCATAGTGACTTGCTAACCACATATTGCAAAACCATTAATATCCCTTCTCTTTGAATTTTACCTCCTCCATCAACACTCAGCTTTTCAGGTTTGGCCATTCCTAGCTGTCAGCCTGCTCATTTCTGATGACCACCTCCTTGAAGAAAATGTCCTTCTAGGCCAGGCATGGTGGCACGTGCCCTTAATCCTGGCACTCAGGAGGCAGAAGCAAACAGATCTCTGTGAGTTCAAGACCAGCCTGGTCTACATAGTGAGTTCCAGACCAGCTGGGGCTACAGGGAGACCCTGTCTCAAAAAGACCACAAAAGAAAAAAAGAAAAGAAAATATCCTTCTGAGGAAGACAGAATATCCTGCAAAACTTTTAAATAAGTTTTATAATAATTATACATATTTATGGAATACAGTGTAATATGTGGAATATACATTTTGTAATGATCAAGGCAGTATATCTGTCACATCAAACACTTATCTTTATTTGTAGTGACACCACCATTCTGCAAATGTTCTTTGCCTAGCCCTGTCCTCTCCTCCTCCTCCTCCTTTTCCTCAATTGCACAGAGGTTGAAGAACTCAAGTTCTATGCTGAACTCTAACCTGTGCCCTGTGGAAGACCAGTTGTCCCCTCTCCAGTATCTCCCACATTTAGCTCTCTCACCCTCTCTTCTCCCTTTCCTCTCCCTTTCTGTCCCCTCTCCTCTCCTCCTCTCCTCTCCTAGACCTTTCCTGCTGCCTTTAGCACACTCAGGGCTTCCAGCTCTTACCATCTTATTTGGTGGTTTCTCTCTTCTATATTATCATGTCTTCGACCAAAAGAAAAATAAAACAAATACTGAAAATGACTTTTATCCTGAGTTGCTTTGGCACACACAACCCAGAAGAAAGGAAAGGAAGATCTGTGGTAACTGAGCCTGGGCCAGCTTTGACAGTGTTCACTGCTTTCCCCTGATGTGGAATTGTCAAAAGAGATGCTGGGAAACATAAAAAAGCAAAAAAGCGCAGTATCAGTTTTTCCTTCCACAAACTGTGGTCTAGGACACTTGGAATTCTAAACTCAGGATGTGCTGTATAGAAAGGGTAGTCTGGGTTTTGTGCCCACATCACAGAACCCATGTCAGAAATACTACTTGGGTCTGATTTTAGAGTCCAGCCATGAAGATACAATTGTGTTCATATTATATCACACACAGATACAAGAAATAGGAAATTTTTGTTTTATAAAGATTTTGATAAATGTAAGTTTAGTCTCAAAATAACTGTCATACTTGGAAGTTTATAGAAATCTAGAATATACATCTACAAAATCTGTAAAATAGAATTAAGTAGGCTATCTCAGTCATTGGGCATTTTAGTTATAGTTTTTCTAGATCAACTCTAAATGATGATTATAGGGAATTGTTTAAAATATTCTACAACGCTTTGGCTTCTTAATTTTCCTCCCAAGGAGGAAAAACTTCTAACAGTTAAAATCATTTAAGGATTTTAATAAAGAAGCATTTAAATGTGAGTTCTTGTGCAAGATCAGCATTGTGGTTGAAAAGAAACACAGAGTCGGCCAAGAAAAAAATAGGAAGGGTTTTGAACTTTGTTTTATATTTTAGTTGAAGAACTTGAAGTCCTTTTAATACTACATATTTCGTTCAACTTATGAAAACCCACAATGTTTTTGGAAGCCCAAGTGAGTCCAATTCTAAGTCTCTATTATTAGTACAATAAAATACTAACACTGTGCTAAAGTTACACATTTCCCCCAATTTGGTAATAAATTCCTGAGTGAAACATATTTAATAACTACAATAAAT